AAAAAAAAAAAAAGAAGCCAAGTACTTTGCACCAGAACAATAGGAAAGATGCTGTGAGGGCATCTCAGAAATTGGCCAGACTCTACTTATCACAGGTGCAAGTGTGTAGGTGTAAAATTGTTTGAACGACTTTGCTTTGGGAGTTTGAGGCAGGAGGATTGCTTAAATTTGAAGCCAGCCTGGGCTACATAGTGAGTTTAAAGGCAGCCTGAACTACATAGTGAAATCCTGTCTCAAAAAAAAAAAAAAAAAAAAAAAAAAAAGGGCCAGGGATTTAGCTCAGTTGAGCAGCACCTCCCTAGCAAGTGTGAAGTCCTGAGTTTGATTCCTGCTGCTATAAAAACAAAAACAAAAAAAAAGCTAGGCATGGGAGTGCATGCTGGGCATGGGGGGTTGGGAGCATGCTGTAATCCCAGGACTCAGGAAGCTGAGGCAGGAGGATCACTGAGTTTGAGGCCTGCCTGGGCTACATAGGGAGACTCTGTCTCAAATAAATAAATTAATTAATAAGACTTAGTTTTGAGGAGTCTTACTCAAGGCCATCTAAGGCAATGCTTCCAGGTGTTCAGAATCCAGGCCCTCAGAAGCTGCTGCAGCTGTGATCCAAGGGGACCCAGCTGCTCTCAAGATGACGGCAGACCTTGGCATCACCCATGTGACGCTGTGCAGGCATGCAGAACGCAAGGTGTGCGAGGCACGGAGGTTCCTGTGGGAGGCTGGGCTCTGCGATCAGCTGCAGAGACCTTCCCAGGGCGGGAGGAGGCGGAGGCTGCCCCTCCTTGTTTGTGTGCAGGAACGCTGATGAGCAAGGCAGCCAGGGCTAAACAAAGAAAACGACCTATCTGGGTGTGAGGTTGTTACCTCTCCTTAGCCATTTACAGTCTCTTGAACCTTGAATTGCATCATTGCTGCAGTGCCTTGATTGATTGATTGATTGATTGTCTTTTTGAGGCAGGGTCTCGCTATGCGGTTCAGGCTGGCCTTGAGCTCACTTTGTAGCCCAGCCTGGTCTCGAACTCACAAGATCCTCCTGCCTCAGCCTCCCAAGTGCTGGGATTGCAGGTGTGCACCACCACGCCTGGCTTGACATAAACTTGACCCTTTCTCCTCTGTGGATAAGTCAGCCCTCTAGGCCAGCTGCTGAGTATGAATGTATATTAACTAGGGTGATGTTGTTGTGTTTTTATTTTTATTTTTATTTTTTCTTTTCTGTCTTTTTGAGACAGGGTCTCACTATGCAGTTCAGGCTGGCCTTGAGCTCACTCTTGGCTTCTTTTTAATGGTGCAAATTTCTTCAACAATCATAACTTCTTTGGCTCTAGGATTACATGTGCTTCTTTTCTGGCCAAAATGCAAGGTTTTCAGATATTTTTGCTCTGATTTTGCTCCAAATTCGCACTGTAAACGTGGCTGAAAGATGCCAGCATTACCCACACTACAGCCTCAACGTTGTGCTGCCTTGATATTTCCTCCACTAGTTTCATTAGTCTGCTGCCTTTAAACCCTGCGTCAGGGGGCTGGGAATTTAGTGGGGAATTTAGCTCAGTGGCACAGCGGCACAGCTCAGCTGGGAATTTAGCTCAACCTGGCAAGCTCAAGGTTGTGAATTCGACTCCTGGGGCTGGGAAAGAAAAAAATGAAAGTAATATTTGCTGGGCATGGGGGCTCACGCCTGTAATCCCAGCCCTCGGGAGGCTGAGGCAGGAGGATCCTTGTGAGTTCAAGGCCAGCCTGGGCTACAAAGTGAGGTCAAGGTCAGCCTGAACTGCATAGCGAGACCCTGTCTCAAAAAAAAAAAACAAAAAACAAAAAAACAAAACTCTGCCTCACCCAAAGTCTTAGGATATGTCCAAAACATGGACAAGTTCTTTGCCAAAATCTAACGCAAACACTAGCCCAGGTCCTACAGTCTTTTTTTTTTTTTGCTGGTACCGGGAATCGAACTCACGACGTTGCGCTTGCCAGGCAGGCGCTGTGCCGCTGAGCTAAATCCCCAGCCCCTTTACGGTGTTTATTTTCACCTAAAAATGTGTGAACTGTAAAGCCTGCTCATATTTGTGAAGGGCAGGCAGTGGGGACCAGAATGGCAGGGACAACGGTGAGAACAGTGCGGTGGAGGGCCAGGGTGGGAGGAACACGAAGAGCTCTGAGCGCCTGGGATCCAGTGTTTGGCAAAGGAGCAGCAGCATGTGTCAAATTCAGCTGGGAAAAAAGCTGACACCAGAGAAAAATAAAGGACGGGAATCGGCTCGCATTTGAACCCCTGTTCATATGCTGTTGGGTGAGTATGGAGCTTTTCTTCTCCCATCCTGGGTGCTTTTCGGTGCTGGGGACCCAGTGCCTGATGTATGCCGGCAAGTGCTCCGCCTCTGAGTTTCTCAGCCCTGAGTTTAGTTCCATCCAGCCCTACAAGCACAGACGGAATGCTGGGTACCACGTGACCCCCTGAGGACAGGAGGAAGCCCCTGCAGGCCCTGTCCCTTTGTGATCAGCACAGCTCGTCCCTGCTGGGTCCACACAGCACGAAGAGCACTTTTCCCAGCAACGCTGTCCAGGACTGAGCTCTGGTAAGGTGAGGGCAGCTCTGCAGATGACCTTGTGCAGAGCTGGCCGGCAGTTATGATGGCCGGGCTCTGCGTGGGCATGGCCAGTGCAGGGTCCTCCCGGCTTCCCACTGCTGTCTCCGAACCAGATGGAACCTCACGGGCAGACGGACGACAAGACGCTGCCCACGGCTGCTCCTGGTGTTCCTGCACTCCTGGAATTTCCCCATCTGGGCAGGACCTGTGATGACCTCTCACCAATAGAATCGGACAAAAGCCACTTCACCTGACTGATGAGACACAGGGGAGGGGCTGCTATCTCGCTAGCGGACCTTCTCTTCTGCCTTCTGTCCACACCATGCTTCAAGAAACAGAAGGGCTCCCGAGGTGAGGAACTGAGGCCAGGCTCCTGCCAGCACCCAGCAAGAAAGCGAGGCTGCCTGTCTACACCCACCTGGGCTGGGACGAGGAGCCTTCCTCCACCTGCAGGCCTGGCTGCACCTAGCAAGCCGTGAGAGCCTCCACTGCCCGGGTCTGCCTAGCCGTAGCTGCTGCCTGACCCCCACAAATATGAGATGCTGTGTGTGTGTGCTTTTGTTTTTGTCTTTTTGAGACAGGGACTCGCTATGCAGTTCAGGCTGGCCTTGAGCTCACTTTGTAGCCCAGGCTTGCCTTGAACTCCCAGTGATCCTCCTGCTTCAGCCTCCCGAGTACAGGGATTAACAGGGGTGTGCTACCACACCGAGCCGGAGTGTGTTACTGAAGCTGCTACATTCGTGGTAACGTGTTACAAGCATTTGATACATGGCTGGCTGAGCGTCTTAGTTACTTTCCTCTCCTTGCTGAGACAAAATATAAAAGTAAGGAAAGATTTATTTAATTGTTTGTGGAGGTTTGAGTCCATAATTGGCTGGCTCTAAGGCAGACTGGCACAGTTCATGGTGGTGTCAGACAGAAAATCAAGCACTTTTTATATTCTGTCCAGGCTGCTGGGATCAGGGTGGTGCCAATCCAATCCGGGGACTGATCCAGCAATCACCCACCGTGAGTCCCAGCACCCCGAACCCCAGCACTGCACCGCCAATCACACACTCTAGACTCAGTCGCCTCGAAAAAAGCCTGTTTAAAGCTGCATAGGCTTTGGGGGACATCCAGACACAAGCCACAACACTGAGTGAAATGATGCTGGGGCCAGTTTGAAACTACCGTCGCTTCTGTCCCTACGGCTGTCCCTCCCGTTCTGGTTATTTTTATTTTGAAGGCAGGTCTCACTATGTAACCCAACATGGCCTTAAACTCCCTATGACCCTCCTGCCTCAGCCTCCCAAATTCTGGGCTTGTAGGTGTGCACCACCACACCTGGCACAGTTCTCCTTTTGGAGACACAGTTTGCCTTTCCCTCTCCAGTTTATTTTCTTTTTCTCTCCTTCCACGTTTAAAAGTCACAGCGTCTCCTGAGTTGCTGTGCTCTCACACACTCCAAGCGCAGGGGACCCAGGGGTGCGTGTGGAGCGGCAGGCAGGGCGGAGGCAGGGCAGGTGGGTGGCGCTGACCTGGCCCCTCCTCCAGGTCCATGTGATGGGCAGGCACCACCAGGATCCGGCTGGGGAAGAGACTCAGAGGGCAGGGACTGGACATCAGATGCTTCTCATGGCCCCACAAGCCGAGCTCTGCTACGCTGTGGAGTAAGGCAGCAATGAATAAAGTGCTCGGCACTGTGGGTCTTTGCCCCTCACCCAGACAGCCCACCTCACGGGTGCCAGGCGGCCACTGAAGATGCCCCTCGGTGCTCAGGTCCCGCTCCCGCCACTCTGACCCCACACTGGCAGCTCACATGGCTCTGCACACTGCAGCGCAGGGAGTGCCCTGCTGCCGATGCCCAGCCAGCCCCGGCCCAGTGTGGGGATGGCAGCCGGACAAGGCAGGGGCGGGTACAGCAGCCAATGCAACACAGCTACGCTCTGCTGGGCCGTCAGATGCTTCCTTAGCGTCCGGCTCGCCCTTGGAGTCACCTGACCTTCCAGCAGCCTCAGTTTCCTCATCTGTAAGATGGGACTGACAGCTGCCCTGTCTCTGAGGGCTCTTATGAGGTTTAAATTATGCCATTCATGACATTTTCATGGATGCAGACTCCTATAAAGCAGGACTCAGCCACTTAGCTGGTCTCCTCATCCAAGGTCGATGAGGACCGGTTTCCCCAGCACTGACCCTGACCAGGACCCCTCCCCTGGCTGCAGATGGAGAGCGATTCATTCTCTACGCCGTGGAGGTGTGTGTGTGCGCGTGGGCAGCAAGCAGGACAGCCCAGCACCAGCAGGTCCTAGAGCAAAACACTCGCACAGAAATGCACAGAAATGTGGACAAACACGTACATACGAGAACATGTACATGCTTATACACACAAACCCACCTCCATGTGGTTGGTCATACACACACATATAAAACAACACACACATGTACACACACACACAGAGGCACACGTACGCATGCCCTGCAGATTGCCAGTTCTGTTTGGAGACTGGCTTACTTGCACTTAAAATCTTGTAAGAAGTTTTTTCCTTGAGGGAGAAGCCCCTGAGAACGCTGTCCCCTGAGAAGTGGTCCACTGTCCAGTGACTGTGGACTTTGGGGCCTCGTATGCCCTGCTCCAGGACCCTCGGAGGAGCAGGGAACCTGATCTCAGGGAGCCCTGGGCCTCTGGGCCGGAAGTGACACATTCTCCACCTTGGTGGCTTGGTGGAGGTGTGGCCGAGGCTGTGTGCATCTGGAGTCCAGAGGCAGCCGTGGGCACCGAGCACCTGTGCCCTGGGCCACCTCTGTGAGCCTCAGCGCTGGAGCATCCCTGGCACTGAGTCAGCTGCAGGTCTTGGCCCAGCTCCTGCTGGCCAGGCCCCTCCCACTCGCCAGGCCCTGACCAGACTTCGCTACACCGCGGGGCCCCAGCTTGGCCCCAGAAGGAGGATCGCAGTTGCACCTTGCCCCTCTGCAGGGAGACACCCTCAAGTCAGAACAGGGAATCCCAGGCCCCTGCAGTACCTGTGTTCTTCTTCAGGCCATGAGTTTTCCAGAAATTAAAGCCACACAGACGGCCAGAGCCACAGTCTGACCTCCACGGCTGGCAGGTGCTTGACTGCTTGGGACGGAGGGCCGAGGAGGCTGCTCTGAGAAGGAAAGAGAAGGTGCAAGGCCTTGAGCCCCAGCTCGGAGCTCTGACCCTGCCAAGGGTGTCTTCCATTCCCTGACCAGGGGCCCTGGGCCCCCACCCCCTTACCCCATCTCAGGGTGCGGGGCTCAGGCAGCCCCTCGTGCTGCACACGGCACTTGTAATTCTGCTCCTCTCCAGAAGGCACCACCACAGCCGCCCACTTCTGGAAGTTTCCATTCCCGTCAGGCCTGGTCTCCACCAGCTCCATGTCCTGGGTCAGGTCCTGCCCATCCCGCTGCCAGGTCAGGGTGATCTCCTCAGGGTAGAAGCCCAGGGCCCAGCACCTCAGGGTGACCTCCTCCTTGGAGATGGGGTGGCGGGTCACGTAAATATGGGGCCGGTCTGTGGTAAACAAAGGAAAAGTATCCACGGAAAGACTTGCTGAGAAGCACTTACTCCAGTGACCAACATGCCCCAGCTCCTGATCTTGGGCAGCCCCCTGGAGCAGGCGGGTATCAACTAGGCAGGAGTGCGGGAACCCAGCATTAAGGCAAACAGGGATCTGGGGGACTGTGAGCTCAGCCCCAACACTGCAGAATGAGTCACTCCGAGACCCGCCAGCCTCTCCTCAGGGTCACTGTGGACAAATGCTGATCGCAGGCACAGCTGTGTCTAGGGGGAAAGGACGGAAGTGTGTCCACCCCAGCCTGGGAGCCCCAGCGCCCTCCTGAGAGTTGTCCCACAGGAGGACGTCAGCAGGGAGAAGGCAGCGCCCCAAGACTCAGCAGGGCAGAGCCCCGATCTGGGTCTCCTGCAGTGGGCAAGCCGTGCCCAGCACAATGGCCCCACCACCCACCCTGGAGCGCCTGCAGCCCTGTGCTGTGTAGCCCGGCGGCGGCCACACTCTGGGAGGGGGCTGGCCGCTGCTGGGGCCCAGGAGCTGCAGAGCAGGAGGCGGAGCAGTCGTTACCAGTGTGGGCCAGGACCTCCCGTCCTTGAGCCAGGTATCTCTTCAGCCATGAGATGCACTCCTTCTGCAAGTACTGCCGGTCTCTTTCCATTTTGTTCCTATCCATCTCCCACTTCTGCTTGGTTTTTTGGGCAATGAAAGAGGCTGCGACGTACTGCAGAGTGTCCAAGTCCAGGCTCAGGTAGTCGCTGCCGTCGTAGCCATACTGCCAGTGCCCCCAGGTCTGGCCGTCCTCCTGCAGCCTGCAGCCGTAGGTGAACTGGAGGATGTGGGGGCCTGCCCCCCGGGACACGCGGGTCAGGAAGGCAGGCACTTCTCAGGCCTGCTTCCAAACCTGCCCACCTGATGCCCTGGCACTGCCTAGACGGTGCACATGCCCTAGACGACCTAGTTTGCTTCCTGACTCTGGTCTCCTCCGCTTGTAGCCAGCTGGGAAGTGGCCTATGCTGGATTCCAGGACAGTGAAAATGCAGTGGGCAGGAGGGGCACACACTGGGCTGTCCTACAACCAGTGTCCCCAGGAGAGGTCACTCACCCTCCACAGCTCCGTGTGCACCGAAGGGCTGGGGCCCGGCCCCACGGGAATCCCTCCGGGCCAGCAATCTCAGCTGCTGGGATCCGGCACAACTGCCATCCACAATGGCTGTGTAGGGTGATTGTGGATTCTCTTGCCACTCTAGAGAATCCCATCTTAGCACCAACCGAGGCTGCAGAGTTCACTAATGAATTTCAAAGTCAAACATAACAGCCGGGCATGGTGGTGCACACCTGTAATCCCAGCACTCGGGAGGCTAAGGCAGGAGGATTCTTGCGAGTCTGAGACCAGCCTGGGCTACAAAGTGAGCTCAAGGCCAGCCTGAACTGCA